AAGCCAAGGCTCTCATTAATAGGTAAAAGTGGCTATTCTAAATTGTAATTAAGTATGAGTAAAATTACACACTTGAAAGCAATACCCATAAAAGTACAAGTATCCAAAAAAGCTACTTACCGCTAATTACAGTAATGTGAGTATTTGTATTTCGTTACTTCCACCCCTGGTTGTAGGTTGACGTTGATGTCATTGCGTGCCTCCTTGACCAGGTCGATCTCTGTCTACTTCCTGGTTAAATAAATGTAAAATAAGACATTAGTTTGTAGATAAAAAGAGACAAACGCTGTGATTTATGTAGATAAACTGTGCAGTTGGGTCTCGGACAGTTCACTGGACGAGACGTTTAATAATGAGACACTTGGCTTGCCATACATATCCACCTTCGTCTCGCTCCGGAAGTCCTGGAGCAAACGTCAAATCAGCTGCATTTTGCCGCAGCGCCCAGGCGAAATGCAGCTGATTTGACCATTAAAGTGCATTTGTTAAGGAAAAGTTAGACTGAGACACCTTTACCATAATTTTGAGCAAACAAATAATTGTTTTTAGGTGTTAATATTGTTAAATTCTTGTTTAAGCCTTCCCGCGGCCGCCATTTGGCAGCCAATCGATTTTTGGCACATCGGACCACGTTTCCAGGTGGTCAGCGGTGACGAATAATAGATGCGACTTATATGGCGAAGTGACATATTTATGTTTTTTTCCACTTTATTAGACATATTTGGACTGATGCGACTTATACGGCGGAAAGTACGGTACTCGGCTATTGTAGCTAATGAATTCATCTGTACATTGAAGTGTTTTAAACTGGCACCAATTAACGCTTTCATCTGGATTTGATGGCTTTTTATTTTATTTTTGATTTTGTATCGTGTTACTGTGCATTATGTTGTTCTATGTTGTTAAATGGTAAATGGTAAATGGAGCTTACTTCTATAGCGCCTTCCAGCCCCCTATGAGGGGCCCCAAGGCGCTTTACAGTACCAGCCATCCACCCATTCACACGCACATTCATACACCGGTGGCGGTAGGCTGCCATGCAAGGCGCCATCCAGTCCCACCGGGAGCAACTCGGGGTTAAGTGTCTTGCCCAGGGACACAACGGCACATGGTGTGGGAAGTCGGGATTCGAACCTCCAACCTTCCGATCAGAGGTCGGCTGCCACTACCACTGCACCACGGCCGCCGTTAATAAAGAAGAAGAAAAAAAAACACTTATGGTTTGGCTTAATTTAATTGAGTTTTTTCAAATGTGATTCCGGCCACTTCTGCTTCGGCTACTTCCGCTTTGGCATATTGTAATTCCGTGTTTTCAAATCTTGTTCATTTACACCTGAGGGCCACCGTACATTTAAGAACTGTTGGGTCAAAGCTGGTCTAACACCCCCCCCCCCCCCCCACAAAAAAAAAACAAAGTTAGCATCTAGAATGCGTATAGCTAGCTACTTATCAGATTAGATATCTGTTATAACATATTTACAAGAAAATGTAATCACAAAAGTGGTTCTTGATTTATTTATTTAACTTTTTGTGTTTGTGTGTATTTGTAAACTGGTTTGCAGTTTCAATTAGCAAAGCTAAAGATAATTGAATGTTATTTAAGGTTAAATTTTTAAAAAATCACGTAAATGGAGGGTGGGCATGTTGTTTGAGCACACGAGGTGAATTTTAATAATTTTTCCACCAAGAAATGTGTTTGTTTTTAAGTTGGTGTTGTCAGGAGGAGTAATATTTGTCTACATCGAGTCTGAAATGACTTTTACTAAACAGCTCAACAGTTCTGGAGCACAGGGGAAGAAAAACGAGCTCAATTTATTTGTGTCGGTACGAAATGTGAATATGCTGTTTTCAGCTGAATAAGACGTTAGTCCTTTCTCATTTGAAGGTTCGGCTGTTCTCATTTCGCTCTGGCCCACTCGGTCTGTAGACGGTTTGTGTATCACTCAGCAGAATGCTTTTATCGTTCGGCATGTTCGGCTGTGCAGACTGACAGTTTGCAGCTGCACAGCCGTTCAGACAGTCGTCAGGAGGTTGCCTCGTCTTTGATGACATTCGTTGGGCTCCAGGAGTCAGAATATGGACTGGGGTGAGTGGAGGACAGCCGAATGAACGGAAGAAGGGAAATGAACTATTTATTAACACCAGAATGATGTAATACTTCTTATTTTATTAATACTTTCCTGTCACCCCCTCCCCCCTTCATTGCTCTCATTAATTGTTGTCATCTTTTGCCTCTTCCCATCCCACCTCCTGCTCTGTCTGCTTCACCTCCTCTGTCTCCCCCATGCACGTCCTCCTCTCCAGCCTTCTAAAGTGACTCGCCCCTCTCATGTACACATTCCCACTGTCGTTATTTATTTATTCTTGGAGCTAACCAATTATCTTAAGGCTAAAACACAATCGGTGTCATCTCCATATTAATGCGAGTGCTTATGAAGCATCTCACTATTGTGATCTATTTTTCTTCTGTACGTTTTTCAGCATCTTTCTTGTTCCACAATTTTTGTGCTGTTTCAATAAATCATGAATCAAAACGTTTGGCTCATTCAGGACAATCCTGCTATGACTTTTGGTTTTGGTGCAACTTTAGCTTTTTGACATATTTAGCCTTTTCTCATAGAAAATGAACTGAGCTCATTTTCCATCCTTGAAATCTTTAGATCTGTTTACAACCTTTTACTGCTCCTTTCACATTTTGTTCGTGTTCAGCTTCTTTCAGCTTTGTTGTGCAAATTTAAAAACAAATCCAGCTACTTTCAGCTATTTTTAGCTGTTGTGCTCCTTTCTGCTTTATTCTGCTAACTACAACATTTTTGTATTTCTATTTGTTTTCTTCTAATTTCAGCTTGTTGTGCTCCTTTCAGATCATCTCTGCAAGTTTCAACTATTTCTGCTATTTCAGCTACTATTTAGCTGTTTTCATGCAAATTTGAACTTTTTCAGCTAATTCCACATTTTTTGCACTCATTTAAATGTTTTTCTGCCCAATTCAGTAAAATATGATCTCTCCACTTCCTTTTTATAATTTAAACTTCTTTCTGCTATTTCAGCTACTATTCAGCTATTTTTTTCTGCCTTTTTTCAGAAAATTTCTTCTTTTTTGTGCTCATTTGTGCTTCTTTTAGCAGGCAAAAGTGTGCTCTCCCCACTTCCTTCTGCTAATTAAGGGTTGTTCTACATTTAAACTGTTTTTTTTTTGTTGTTGTTTTTTTTTTGGGGGGGGGTTGCATTTTTAGCTATTCAGCTTGTTTCAGATAAATTAAAGTTTGTCATGATAATTTCTGCTACTGTCAGACTAATTAACTTCTTTCTGCTAATTTCAGTGCGTTATTCTCCTTTCAGCTTAATTATACTAGTTTCAGATAATTCCTCTATTTCAGCTACTATTTAGCTGTTGTTTTTTTATTTTTGCTTTTTTTTCCAGACAATTTCCACTTTTTTGTGCTCATTTCTACTTCTTTTGGCCTAAATGGGCACAACTGTGCTCTCTCCCCTTCTGCTAATTTAAGATTGCTGTATCGTTAAACTAAGTTTTTAGCATTTTTAGCTAATTTCAGCTGCTTTCAGATGAATTCAAGTTTTTAGTGGTAATTTCTGCTACTTTCAGACTAACTTTCTGCTAATTTCAGTGCGTTATTCTCCTTTCAGCTTAATTATACTAGTTTCAGATAATTCCTCTATTTCAGCTACTATTCAGCTGTTTATGCTGATTTTAGCTTTTTCAGCAAATTCCACATTTTTTAGCTCATTTCAGCTCTTTCCACTTCCTTCTAGCAGTTTAAGTTGCTTTCTGCCTTTCATCTACTTTTCAGCCATTTTTTTGGCTATTTTATAGCTAAATTTTACTATTTTTTTACTTTTTTTTTAGCTATTTTCCTGCTAATTTCTGAATATTTAAACTAGTTTCATCAAATGTGCGTTCTTTCTGCTTTCTTCTGCTAATTTGGGCTTGTTCTTCTATTTCAGCTACTTTTCAGCATGTTTTTAGCTCATTTCAGCTGTTTCTCAGTAAGTTCTTCTGCAATAAGCATTCGCACTGCATTTTCACAGGAAATGCAATTTCTCTTGATTCTCATCTATTTTTTTTTAATGAAAAAAGCTTTTAGTTTTACTGCAATTTTATTGCATATTTGCATTTCTTGTTTGTCTACGAGCCAGCAGATTTAGCTTGAAACACGGTTGTGCCTTTGTGGCGCTGTGACAACGTTGGGTATCTCCAGCCCACAGCGCTATAAATAGAACTGTGTGATTGGTTGATGCTGAATCAGAGTTGAAGTCATTGTTGAAGTGCCACCTCCTACTGCATGCTAATCAAAGTGATGTTTGAACCAGTGTTCAGTGTAGCTTGAATTTTATTTTCTTCCAGAACTTTAAGATAACTGCTCAGCAGAATTTTACATTTTCATATTGAGCTTTGGTAAATAAGAAACACACGTTCAAACATGGAATGTTTGTTTGTTCAGGATTTAATTAATCAGAGTGGATTACCAGGACAAAGTGTTGAAAATGTCTCTTTGCTTTTCTGTTTGTTCTGATTTTTGGACCCGCTCTGGTCACTTTGGGCTATAATGAGCAGACAATCACAGGCAGCAGCCTAAGCAGCATTATGTTGCATTATTTTCACAACAATGTTACGTTAAGAGTAAAGCTGTGCAGAAAACAGCTGGCGGCTCTTTGTTCTGATACAGAGATCTCTAAAGCCACTAATTACTGTACGCTCCTTTATTGATCTCGTACCACGTCTGTTTGGTAAAGCTTATTTATTTACTCCACATAAAATGTGACTCACATGACTGAGAAACATGTTGATGTCAAAATAATCATCTTGAGTCACCCAAAATGGATCTTTTATGTGAATTATGAACAGGGCCCATTGAAAATCAGTTTCTCCTGGTCTCGTTGTTAAAAATTGATATTTATGTTACAATTAAATAACTTTGAAATTATGTGTACAGTTAAATTGCGAGTATGTTTATCTTGTTTTTCTGTTGTTTTTGTAGGATGGTTACTCCCAGCATCACTTTGTGGGCTCTGCTTCAACGATAGAGCGAGACAGACAGAAGCCCTACTCTTCATCCCGAACTCCCTCGGTCTCTCCTGTCAGGACGTCCCCGAATAATCGCTCCGGTAAGCATCTCAAGTGCCAATAATGGTGTTAAAAATGGTCTCTGTAACAACCAGTTTGAAATAAAGACCTAGCAAGACGTAAATCAAATCTGATTTCAATGCTGTTTAGGTTTACATTGTGTTTGGTCAGAATTTAACTGTTATTTTATTTTGATGGATCTTAAAGATCCAGAATATTAAAACTTCAGGTGCAAAAGTTGCTTTTGCAAAAAAAAAAAGCATACAATAAATTATTACATTAAATAAGTATGGGGTGCCGTTTGTAAAGTTACACAGTCAAAAATAAACAGCAATATTTTGGTTTATTTAGCTTTTCATAAGAAAAAAAATTGTTCAAAGTCATATTTTCAACCATATTATGCATACATTTATGAATGTCATGGCTCCAAACTAAATATTTAATTTACAAGCTAAATGTTTAGTTTACAAACTAAATACTTAGCTTGCATGTTAAATATTTAGTTAGTAAACTAAATATTTAGGTGTGAATTAAATATTTAATTTCCAAACAAAACATTTAATTTCTAAGCTAAGCATTTAAATCCTAAACTAAATATTTAATTTGCTAATAGAACAAACCTAAATATTTATTTTCCAAGCTAAATATTTAATTTCCAAAATTAATTTGCTAACTAAATATTTAGCTCAGATCTAACTATTTAACTTGCAAGTAACTTTCATTAAATATTTAGCTTGGACAATAAATATTTAGTTTGGAAATTAAATGTTTAGTTTTGAAAATAAATATTTAGCTTGGGAATTAAATATTTTATGTACACCTGAATATTTAGTTAACTAACTAAATATTTAGCTCAGTGCTAAATATTTAACTCTTACATAACTTGCATTAAGTATTTAGCTCGGAAAAATAAATATTTAGTTTGGAAATTAAATATTTTTTTACACCTAAATAATTAGTTTACTAACTAAATATTTAACTTGCAGGTTAAGTATTTAGTTTGTAAACTAAACATTTAGCTTGTAAATTCAATATTTAGTTTGGAACTATGACATTTATAAAAGTATGAATAATATGGTGAAAATATGACTGAAAAAAAAAAAATTTTTTGTTTATGAAAGGCTAAATAAACCAAAATATTGCTGTTAAATGTTGATTGTGTAACTTTATAAATGGCACCCCATAAGTAAGTGGAGCAAACAGTCGTTTTAAATGTGTCCTTTTTAATATGCTTTTTCATCTTCCCTGCTAATTTACTGGCTCCAGTTTTAAATTTAACACACAAATCTCTTCAAAAGAAAGGAATTTTCCAAATTTGCTATTTTTTTTTTTTGGGGGGGGGGGTATAAATACTAAATAAAACAGGACTTGGTTTATAACAGGCATTCAGATTCAAGTCTGTTCACATATAAATTGTTTTAGTTTTATGATAAAGTCTGCTTCTCTTGAACCTAACACTGACATATATGAACACATGTTTTACTTGTGTACAACTGGGAAGCATGTGTACACCAATACCTATAATTTAGCCAGTAGCACCCACATTAACCAGGCCATCAGTGTTATACTGGGGCTAAATAGCTCTTAGCATCACTGCTCACCACCTTTTAGCTGTCATGCTGTAAAGTATGATTATCATTAGCCTTTAGCCCGAGCCCACTGGCCTTCATGCTTTGCAAGAGTGCATTAGCATTAGCTGTTAGCATCAGTAGTCCGAGAGCCTGTAGGTGTTCTTTCTCCACATCGAGCTTAGCAAGCTGATGAGGCAGAAAAGTACTTTTCCTTCCTCCCGGCTTAGGGAGGTCTTCAAGGACCCAGCTAAGAGAGAAAAAGAATAAAATTGAAAAAAAGAGCTTGTGTTTGTGTGCGTGTGTGGGGGGAAACGGCGACAGAGGAAGGGATGAGATAAACAGGGAAGGGAGATAAACAGGCGAAAGCAAAGAGACGAGAAGAATTAGGGATTGAGTGATAGTTAATGCAGGGAGGAGGATATGAAGGCTGAGGATTTGACTTTGACAAGCGACATTGAGAATAAGTAGTTTAGAGATCATAGTGCATACAGGAATTTGTGTGGGAGGGGAGGGACTGCTTCATCTCCTCTCTTCACACTTCTTTCTCCCGCTGCCTCTCACCGACTCGTTTTATTCTCCTCCACCTGGCTCAGTCGTCCTACTTTCTTCTCACCTCTGCCTCTGATCTCGTACTCTTCGCGGACCACCCCGGTGCACACGCGCACTCCAACACACACCCATCCATATCTCCTCTCTGCATATGCTGCAGCCTGCAATCTGACTCTGCAAGGATGGATCAAAGCAGAAGGGAGTAATCATGGCATGCAGGTGCACTGGTAAAGGAGGAAAAGAGTTGGTCTGAGGAGCGAGTGATGAAACCGTGAAAGAAGAGCTGAGTTTGGGAGTTTGGGGGGGAGAAAGAGAAAAGGGCTTTGCATCCATCCTCCATCCTCAGCAGGGTTTCACTGTGTTTTAGTAGAATTATCATTTTGCTTATTGTGTCTGACAGCTTTTACATGCTACCCTAATAAATTTAAAAAGTGTTCCTCACTCGCTCTCGTGCAAGACGCACGCATTTCTTCCCCCTCCCGTCCTCCTCCTGCTTTTTTGTTCTCTGTCTTGTGTATCGGAGCTCCTATTTACGCATCTTCCAAAACGTAAACTACTGTCATGGATCTGGTCAGATGGACTTTTAATGCAATCAATAAAATTTTTTCAACAAAGCGACAAGGTCCTGGAGAACCCTCATGCCCCGCTGAGATGCACGCGGCAGGATATGTCATGGATGTGATGTGCCTTTCCGTATTGTCTCAGGAGGACTCTGAAGATAGTGGAATCATGATAGTAGGGCTTCTGCTTTTGGGCGCCGGCGAATACCTATGTTATCGGCTATTAAAGAAGACGGCAACAGCAGTTTCGTCCATGGCAAAGCTGCCGAACCTGTGTAAAGGTTTGGTTCGTGCTTCGAGCACTCAAAATCAGCTAATTTACGAGGTAAACTGTAAGATGGAAGTGATTTGTGAAAATCACAGGCCACCTGCGGCTTCTGGGGCTCACCAGCAGACAAAATGACCTTGGAGGAGGCTCATAAGCATGGACCAGTGGGATGCCCACACATCTGGCCATTTTGGATCTTGAAAGTACCAGCAGGACTCGAGGCTGACTCATCTGGATGGCGGCCATCTGTGGGCGGCCGTGGTGCAGTGGTAGTGGCAGCCGACCTCTGATCGGAAGGTTGGAGGTTCGAATCCCGACTTCCCACACCATGTGCCGTTGTGTCCCTGGGCAAGACACTTAACCCCGAGTTGCTCCCGGTGGGACTGGATGGCGCCTTGCATGGCAGCCTACCGCCACCGGTGTATGAATGTGCGTGTGAATGGGTGGATGGCTGGTACTGTAAAGCGCCTTGGGGCCCCTCATAGGGGGCTGGAAGGCGCTATAGAAGTAAGCTCCATTTACCATTTACCATCTGACTCCCCTGTTCGGCCTCGAAGCAGACCGACATCAAATTTCTCCTGAAAAATTTGTAGACTAAAATAGCTATCTATTGCAACCCCCGAGAACTTCTGTGAATGCTTATCAGAGCTGTACCAGCTAACACCAACATCTTAACAGGACTATGGTGTTATCTGGAATAGGAATGTGCGATATGGCATAAAATTCATATCACGATATGTATTGTGAAGGGTGGCGATAACGATATATATCGCGATATGTTTTTGATACAAAACTTGCAATAGGAATGTTAAAAAGCATAAGGTGTCCTTTTGCCATCATATATTTTGAATTAAGAAAATGTCACTACTAGGTCCAGAGAGTTTTTAAATAATAAACAAATCAAGTATTAGGCTTCTTTCTTGTAGTGCAAAATAGTGCAAAAGATATCAAATGTAGTTTTAGCCATATGTTTTAAACAAAATAATATGTTGTTTTAACTCTTAACATTTTCCAGTCTTCTCACTTAATAAATGAACAGCAACAGAGCAGCATTTTACACTGAAACACTTCACCCTCCAAACCTCTAGTGGGCGACTCCTTCTGCTTTAATGGAGCTGTCACAAAATGAGTCTGTGGCTTTGACCAGAGGGTCTCGCAGTAAAATCACACAACACAGCGTTCTTCTCACAGATCAGAGAGCAGGTTTCTCTAAAGCTGACCAACGCTTAATTTAACTTTCGATGGGGAAAAAAACAAACTTTCGACGGAACACAGCGTTTCGCGCATGCGTCAGAATATGGCAAGCCGGCCGTAGTTAGCTTGTAGCTTCGCTACTTAGCCCTCGAAGAAAAGACTTTAACGCCTCTTGCGCACAGTTTTCAACTAAAAAAAAGTAACGATTAAATCGGACTGCTCTGGTTTTACATCAGACACAGCATTACTGCGGTTAGCCGGTAGAAGACAGATCTGTATCGTAGGCTAAATTTCTATTGTTTCTACCGTGCACCGTTTATATCACGCATTCCTAATCTGGAAGTGCTTCATGGCCAAATCTTACCGTCTTGTCATCAGATGCATATGTAATGTTTTTATAAATGTGCTTGCCGGTAGAGTTTTTTGATGTCTTAAATTGTGTCCTTAAATCATGTCAGACTCATGAATCTCTAACCAATCTGGTTGCTGATCTGTTTCATGTTGCTGCTGATCTGTTTCATGTTGCTGCTGATCTGTTTCATGTCTCATCTGCTCACACAGACTCATGTTTGTGCTGCTGTTCGACGTATTGTTTTTATACTATTAGTGCTTAGTGTATTTTTAATTAAAGTTTTTCTTAGTTCATATCTTAGATCTTATTACCGGTACTGTTTTTCTTTAACATTTTATTGTTGGATGTAAATGGGACCCTGTGTACACAATTTTGTTCCACCACATGTACCGCATGTCTTGCAAATGACAAATAAAGAAACTCTCTCGCTGATAAGGACAAGGCGTGAAGAGCTCTTTTTTTGTAACACCACTATCCATCCTCATGGCCTTTTCCCCTTTTTCTATCTAAAAGAGAAAGAGGCCGCGCTCTTAGGAGAAGCAGCAACGTGCACTCCGTCCATCTTTCGAACGACTGTACATAATCTCACTATTTCGGTACAATGATAATAAAGCTTATTCTGATTCTGAATTAAAACAAAAAAGTCTAAGATATGTAAAAATTTTGGGAAAAAACTGACAACTATTTGTGTGTGTGCGCTTTAATTTGACATTTCTGCGAGAGTATTCTAGTTAAATGGAGTGGGAAGACTCTACGCTCCACTCTTTTCTAACAAAAGAGTGGAATTATTTTGCTCCCTGAGCAAAACTCGCCCTACAACAGCTATTCTGTATTCATCACTGTAGCTCGACAATATTCACCTTAAAGCCGTTTTATTTTCAGAACAGTATTTAACTTTAAAATGTGCGTGTTATGAACTTACAGTAAACTATATGCTGTACTGGTTACTTCCAGGAATGTTTAGGTCAGCTCGCTGAGTGGGTGAACGTATTAAACTGGCAACTTCAGAGGCACTGAGTAAGCACTGAAAGTAGGCTGTAAAGGGATTACATTATGATCTGTTGGTGTGTATGCATGTGTGTGTGAGAGAAGGAGAAGATGAGGAATGGTAGGATATTTACAGCAGAGGGTACTGTTTGTACAATAGACATGCCAGGGTTTCCAGAAATGAAGCATATATGTTTGTGCTGGGCTGTACAATGCACTAAAAATGAACTTGATCAAGCTTTCTAAAAAGAAATTAGTCAGCAAGCAACAACTCCTTTTCATTTGTAAAATTGTATCCTCTTAATATTGAAATAAGCTGTTTGAAAATATGTAAAAACGGCAATAGTAGAAACTGATTCACATAAAACCTTCTACGCCTGATATGGTTATCTATAGTAAAATAAGAATATAAAAGTGTTCTTTATGTCCATCCATTATCTTTACCCGCTTCTTCCTTTTTGGCTCTTATGGTTCAATGGTGCCCATATCCAGCCATCACTGTGCGAGAGACGGGGGACACCTGGACAGGTCTCCAGTCCATCACAGGGACACATCAAGACAAACGAGACAAACCATTCACTCTCTCACCTAGGGATAATTTAGAGTTACCAATCAGTCTAACATGCATGTTTTTGGTCTGTGGGAGGAAACCGGAGTACCCGGAGAAAACCTACACATGCATGGAGAGAACGTAATTCCATCCAGAATGGCTCCCGGACAGGATTTGAACTGGCAACCTTCTTGCTGAGGCATCAGCTCTACCAACTGAGCCACCATGCTGCCCTCATTTTATACAGTGTCAAATATATTAAAAAAATTACCATTGATATTTATTATAGAAGCACGGTGGCGCAACTGGTAGAGCTGCTGCCTCTCAGCGAGCAGGTCCTTGGTTCAAACCCCGGTCCAGGGGCCTTTCGGGGTGGAGTTTGCATGTTCTCTCCGTGCATGCGTGGGTTTTCTCCGGGTACTCCGGTTTCCTCCCACAGTCCAAAAACATGCATGTTAGGCTGATTGGTAACTCTAAATTGTCCCTAGGTGTGAGTGAGAGAGTGAATGGTTGTTTGTCTCGTTTGTCTCTATGTGGCCCTGTGATCGACTTGCGACCCGTCCAGGGTGTACCCCGCCCCTCGCACAGTGATTGCTGGACATGGGCACCAGCGACCCCCGTGACCCAAAATGGAATAAGCGGGTAAAGAAAATGGATGGATGGATGGATTTATTATAGATTTATCTATAACTAGAAAAATTAGCATTTTTCTACAAACAGTGTTAATGCTGAGCGCTGAACGATTGATACAATTTGTTTAAGAAGCTAAAACTGTTTAAATTAAACCAACAGAACAGAAGCTGAAAATAACAAAAATAAATAAATGCTCATTAAAAACTGGATTTAGCAAAACAGCAGCAAAACTGTATCTCAAAGGTAAATGTAGCAAAGCTCGGCTTAAACGTTAGGCTGAAAGCTATATTTAACAAAACAACAGCTAAAACTAGCAAAGGTGTAGCCAAAGGCTAAAATGAGCTAAATTTAAGTTCAAGTTGTGTTTATTTACATATGCAGGCTAACACAGGGTTAACAGTACAATGAAACGCTTAGGATGAGAAGAACCAATTTGACTCGCTAAAAAAAATCTAAGAACAAACCAACAAGAAAATACAAAAAGCATGCAATATGGGTACACAAAAAAAAGTACCAAAAAGTGAAAAAGTAATAATAATATTTACAATGTCCTAAAGACTGATAGTAAAGAACAAGGTAGAATAAAATGGTGCAAGCAGGATGAATTTGAATGAATAAGAATTTGAAGGTAAGGTAAAATGTTATATATATATATATATATATATATATATATATATATATGCACTGCACATAATTAACATATACCACACGGGTTGTGTGACAGGTTATTGCACAGGTAGTGACATTGAGGTTGAATTATTAGTTAGTTATTACCAGTTGTTCAGTGTTATTTATCGAGAGTTCTGTAACCTGACAGCTTGTGGATAATAACTGTCCGTTAGTATTTTTGTACACAATGGCAAATTCCTGTATCGTCTGCCTGAGGGTAGTAGACAGAAGAGTCCTTGTGCTGGGTGGGTGTGGTCCTTCATGATGCTGCGTGCTTTACGCAGACATCGGTTGTGCTAGATGTCCTGGATGTTGTGGAGACTGCTACCAGTGGTAGAGCTTTCCAGCTCTGACTGGTTCAGTTCCTGTACCACCCTGTGATGCAGCCTGTCAGCAGGCTCTCAATGGTGCACCTATAAAAGTTGGTGAGGATGCTGGTGTTCGTACCAAACTTCTTTAGGAAGTCGAGTCTTTGTCTGGCTTTCTTGACCACAGTGTCTGTAGCTAAAGCCTCAAGTTAGCACGACAGTAGCTAAATAGAAGAAGGGGGGAAAATAGTCTTTTTGAAGGAACGGTAATATTACTGTAGTTCTGTGGTAAAATATTTAGTAAATAAAGTTAAATAATTTCAGAGCAGTTTGCCCTTTCCACACACGACTTTTAAGTAAGAATAAAATGTTTATTATCATTTAATTTATTGCCTTCATTATTTTGCTTTTTGTTTGGAAAACTAAGACTCCACTGTGTGTTTCACTTTTGTGCACCAGACCGCCATCTTTTGCAAGTTTTGTAACCTTCATGTAATTTGATATGATCTGGTTTAAATTAACTTTATTGACAGAAAAATGCTCGTTTGTGTGGATCTGTTGTGTTTAGCTGGATAGCTCGGGACTCTAGCCATTTGTTGATTTCAGTTTCATTAAAGAAGAAAGCTGAATATTTTGTGCACACTAAGAAAATGTGCACCACATGCATAATTTACTATTCAAATAACCCGTCTAGAAGTGTGTGCGTTTGCATCTGCAGACGTTCCTGAACACGCTTGGAGGTGACCCTTTCTAGTGACAGGCTAAATGATGAATAATGACTGGGCACCTTGAACGTCTGACAGACACACAAACATCGGCAAACAAAGTGTGAAGGCTTGTGTTCTGGGTTTTATTACTCTCTTTAATGTGTGTGTGTGTAGCGAGCGCTCCAGCCTCCCCGAGAGAGATGATGAGTCTGAAGGAACGCAAGATAGACTATGACTCCACGGCAACCAATGCTGGTTTCCATAGCAACAAAGGAGAGCATACATCCCGAAAAGACGGCATGGCAGGTGTGTGTGTGTGTGTAAAGATAGAGTTGTATTAAATGATTTCATTTTACACCCCTCTTTATCTTTCTTTTTTATCTTTTCATTCCTCTTCCCCTTTCACCTATCAGTCATCTTTTTTAACCTCTTTTTTTTTTTTTTTCTAATATTTTACTTTCTGTCTGCTCCCACTTTGATTTTTCTCTACCTTTTCTTTCCATTATTTCTTTGCCTTTATCCTTAATTACTTCTACCTCCCATTAGACCTGTCGTGATAAACAATAAATCAATTAATCGCATGATAAATGAAAATTATCGACCTCGTTTTCATTTATCAGCTTTATCGTTTCTTCGTGTCTCTCTCTTTCTACTGAAGACACTGGAAGACAAAAAGCTCAACTAACTCCGGTGCTCTTCACTAGAGCTGTCATTTCTAACCCGAACCCAAAACCTGGCTCGGACCAATCCGGATTAGGGCTGGGCCTGGCCGTTATAATGTGATTAATGGGCGGGCTGGTCCGGTCTCGGGCTTTTAATTATGTCAGGATCAGACGTGATCCAATTATGTGATAACATGGCCTGCCATACTTCCACCATTTCACCAAGCTGACTGGCCTTGAAAGAGGTAAAAAGTTCAGTTAAGTTTCAGATGGGACTGTACTGCTAGGAAGTGATCCATCGCCCAATTGGACGTTCATTCTGCCGCTGCACTCAGCGGACGCGCGCTTTTTCATGGCCATGAAAGGACAAACACCCTCTCAGCTCCAAATCTTCTGCCATGTTTATTCAGCTGCGCGTCCCCAACCGTTAATAACTAATTAAAAATGTTGGTTTTTTTCCGGGTTCGGACCTGTAATTACTGTTAATTCGTCGGGTTGGGTGGGGTTTGAAAATTATGACTGCGGGCTGGGGCCGGGTCGGATCCAATTTTTCGGGACCGAATGCAACTCTGCACTTCACTGACCACTCCCTTTCTCTTTTCTTTTTAAAATCTGTTTTAACAATCCAAAGTCACATTTTTTAGATCGTTATAAGCAGCTAAGCTGAGAAGCTAAGCTACGTGCTAAGCTAACAGGCCGACCTCGGGGGAAAAAACCTCGTTCTTGTCGAAGCTTCAAAATTCATGGTTGAAACTCGAGCCTTCGTTTAAAAAGTTGTTTTTCTCTGCAAAAAGAAGCTGAGAACTTGTTTACTGATTTTTTTTTAATTAAAAGCTTTGCGTGAAAAATGCTAAAGAGCTCAAACCACACCAAACATCCGCCATTTTGAGAACCGAAGAGAGACAGCCCACGTCACGTCAAGGGGCCCCTCCCTTCCATTTTTGTTCAAAAGACACGCTGCTCGCTCCCTCACTATCCATCCTTCGGTTCAATCTTATACTGCCATCCGGTGGTCAAAAAATGTACTACATGCAATAAAATTTAACATTTCTTCTTAAATTTGTCAATAATTACTTATTATTGTCAAAGTTCAAACAATATTATCGTTTATCGCAATAATTTGAGACAAATAATCGCCCAGCAAAATTTATCATGACAGGCCTACCTCCCACTCCTCTCCTTTGTTTCCCTGTGTGATGCTTTGTTTTGTACTTTTTTAATACACCACTATTCTTTCTTTTATCCTCCTTATAATGAAAGTTCTTACTTATTTAGTTAACACTGAATGATTTGCAGCGATGTTATTTGTCACCCTTCATCTTTTCTTGATTCATCCGTGAAGTCCCAGTGTCGTGTGGGTCTTCAACATTGTTCCGAAACTCCTACCTGACTGCCAGTGATGACATCAAGCCAAGCCAGGTGAGTTATTGAGCCTCTTTTGTTATTTATACACGCACCCACACACACAGTGGATTAGTGGTGCAATGGTTTTGTTTATTTAATGCCATGGCACTCTTAATTTGGCATATGCTGTCATAGCGAGGCTGTTATTAGGACAGACTGTAGCAGGATGAAAGAGACACACGAGATGCAAACAGAGAAGGTGTCTCGATGCGATAAGCGATGATCTGGCAGAGCATGAGACGAACGCTCACCTTCGGCTCGGGCTTTGTCAAACCACTGCAACCAGGAACCCGGCTGGCAATTAAAACCGCTATCCCGTTTGATTGCACTAATTATTTGCTTCTGTTTAATGCCTGTGCTGTTGAAGAGGGAGGGATAACAGACAGCATCACATCCTTTGACGTGGAAAGATTAGAAGCGAAAACTTGGTTGGATCTCTTAAACTGCTTTAATTTTCTAATTAAAGCTTCGGCTTTCGATGCTGATGGTTAAACCTAACCGAATAAATGTAATGAGTTGGTAGCCAAGGGGATTTTGCTCACATGATTGCACCTCATATTTGCACACTAGTGTGTGTGGGTGATAGTGTTTGATACAAAATTGCCCCTCAAATGCCTGCATGTAATAGAGAATTCACAGCATGAGCCCCTGCCCAGATGATTCCTATCTGAGTTCTGTTATCCTTTCAAACCCGTTTCCCTGTGTGTTCACTCTTTACCTTCCTATCTACCTTTTCCTCCTTCTCCTTTATCACTTTCTCCCACTGCCCATATTTCTTTGACTGTGCCCTTGCTTGCTGCACTCTACCACATCGACCCCCCTCCCCCATCCACCAGAGTCCAGCCCAGCCCTGCGTTGTGCCCCTCCAACCCGAACAGGACAGCCCATCAGCAGCAGCGCTAAAAGACTACGACCCCTACCCCCCTCCTCCTTCCTTCCCACAGCCTCAGCCACCACAGCCTCCACCTCACAGCCAGAGCCGGAGCTTCGATGAGGCCTTCTACGAGGACCAGGGACCCCCGCCTCCACCATCCCAGCCCCAGCCGCCGCTGCAGGTACAAGCCCAGCCTCAAGCCCAACCCCAGCAGCCTCCAGGCTCCACCGGGTCATCCCGGGACCCGCGGGAAGATCTGCGAATGCATCTGGGCCTCAAGTCCACCGGCAACTACGTAGACTTCTACTCGGCCTCTCGGCCGTACAGCGAACTGAACTACGAGACCAGCCACTACCCGGCCTCACCCGATTCCTGGGTCTAACTCGACTGAACGATGGACAGCGGGAGGGAAGGGTTCTGTGTGTGCTTGTGTGAACGGGATTATTTTTGCAGGTGACTAATCGCCGATTAACTCAAGGTTGATGGAAGTGGCATTTTCCAAAAGGACCTTGTTGCCCTGAACAGAATTTTTTTCTTCAAAACAAAAAATTGGAACAAAGATGGAAAGTGAAATCAAAGTGACAAAGAGAAAACTGTGCATGTGCATGCAAACATTCTGTTGTTTTTACAACCACTTTATTTGTTTGAAGTTAGCTCCATTCCATCCCTAAGTGGAGTAGATGAGAAGAAGTGTGTTTGACGAGCTGTGCAGGGAGTGGGGAAGGAAAACTAAAAAACGAGAAAGTGCATATGCACATGTCTTGAGTGGGAGAGGGAGAAATTATAAAGAAAGATTTGATGAGGTAAAGCTTTTAATCTGTAGGACGAGTGAGGAAATGGTTTGTCGTTTAGCTGCAGAAAGACAAAATAGATGGAGAGATGAGAGATGCAGATGGCATGAAGGTTCCAGAGGAAGTGAGGAAAATAAAAGCACAGAGAAAGATGAAAGCACAACAACCTCAAGGCAAGAAGCGGATGTTTACCATTTCACCAAAGTGACAAACGTAGCACAGCTTTTCTCTTATTTTCATTATTTTTCTACCTTGCTGCCTGTCGAAGTTCAGAAACTTGTTTTAAAAGGAATGTCTTCTTCAAGAGACTTTTAATAGTCATTGTTTTGCTTTTTACTTTTCTATATTTACACTGTCAAAAGCTTTTTTTTTTATTATTATTTTCTGTGTACAGTGAAAAGGATACGTGTATATTACACATTTGTTGATGATCTGCTCATCATCATCAGTTTTTATTCCCAAGACTGACTGACAGGAACAAGAAACGAGTCCAAACAGAAGCACGTAAAAAAGAAAAAGACTGGATATCAGCGGACAGTTAATCAAGTAGGTATCTCTGCAGACGAATAGGCGTTTCCAAAAGTAGGTGTATCTCAAGGGCCTCACCTGATTGGACGAAAAACACAAGTTACTCAAGGACTATATCTGATTGGACGAAGGTATCAGAAGACTTTTTTTTTTTATCTTTATTTAAAGAATACAGAACAGTACAATAAAATGCAGTACAGTATACAGTAAAGTAATGACAGCCACCAGGGGGTTACAAACATTGAGACTCAGAAGACTTATTAATCAAGTATAACCTGAGTATAACTGCAAGCAGATTGTGTTAGCCGGTTCGACATTAGCGGCGTCTGCATAACTACCGGTGTTGCCAGATCTCGCAATAGAAGCAAGCAACCATCTCTATGAAAACAAGCCCAACTGGCAACCCACCGTTTCTAAACAGTATAAACATACATTTATTATGGCATTACACATTAGCAAAAGCAAAATTATGCTAAACACTTTGAAGAGCATACGTTTAAGCTCTGATTAAAAAAAATACATTTTGTATATGTGATTTTTTTTTTCTACATATTTTTTACAAACGAAACATCCTGATATCTGCGTGTGAGTGGAACCCCCAAGTGGTTGGCCACAGTTTGAGTGTTTGGGGTGTGCGCCCACAGACGTATTTGTATTTGTCTACATGTGCGCCCGTCGCCTCGCCAACTTGGGCAGGAAAACGCAGGAAACGGGGCGTGTAAAGGACAAACTACCTACTGCCACTAGTCTTTTGCTTTATTGTGCGGAGCTAGGAGATAATCAACTAGTTTCAGTTGGAAAGAAAGTCAAGCCCAAATAAGCAACTTCACGTTCAAAAACGAGCCCAAAAAACACACAACCCACGACTCACAAAATTTGCAAGCGACTTTAGAACAAAAACACGCCCAAAGTCACTTATAATAAGCAAACTTGGCAACTATGATAACTACTTTTCCCGCCTCTCTTAACACAGAATTTCCGGTTACATTTCAAAATAAGAGCAACATAAATGGGTAGTGTGGAGGGCTAAATGGTTTTTTTTTAAATATCTAGCCATTACATTAAAAAAACAATCTGTTTTGGTTGTTGATTAATGTGAAATTAGTTACAATCAATTCATAAATAAAGTAACCAAAATATTAATGATACTTAAACTGGCTTTGGGACTAAGGATGTTTCCTTTAACGTCACATTTTCTTGTTCAACTTTTAAATCAGTCGCTTCAGATGAGTGATTGTCAGTTTCTGTCAGATTTCTGCACCTGGAGCAGGTATTCTGTTTACTGGTTCACTTCCTCAGCTGTCTCACATTTTAAGGGTCAACCCTACTCCATGTTTCAGCTCCTCTCATAGATCAGATCTCATAGAAGAACTTCTAAAGAGCAAATTTAGTTTTTAGCTTTAGTTTTGGGCCATTATCTCGTTACAGGACTCATGATCTTTAATTGAGACCAGACTTTTTGGACAAATGGGAGCAGGTTTCGCTTCAGATGCTTCATATTTCATTGTACCCAGACCACACTCAAGACAACCTGTGTCAGGTGCAGCCTACAAGAACAAAATAAAATCTTCTTGTGTTTGACAGCAGATTTAACGCTGGTTCTTAGAAACCTTCAGTTAACAAAAAGAGCTGACGTAACTGAAGAGCCAGAAAATAAAGCTAGCCAATCAGTGTTTGAGCTTTAGAAACACCCACTTTTGGTCTGCAGAGAACCACTTCTCCAGTTAATCATTTCTTTACTTTCCCCACTTTCTCAGCCAGAGAAGAGATCCTATAATACAAATATAAAAAGTAAAAGTTCAAAAGGAACGTAATCGGACGTTGAGCGGAGCAGCTTTGTTCTCGGATCTCAATCAAGGAGTGCTTTTTTTGTTCTCACTGCCAAAACAATATACGGATGTATGTAAAGCACACTCTTTGTCTTTGGGAAGGGGTTTGGGAGATTTATTTTGTTTAACAGTGTTCGAATCCAATGAGTCATTGTTACTTTAGCATTAAAACTGATCCGCAAAGTCTGAGCTGTCCATGGCAGTACACGAACAAAAAGATTTGACCTTGTGCCAAACTTTTGACAGATCGGCCTGCCCTCGAGGTCTTAAAGGGGGGGTTATGTCGAAGTTTACAGACTTGATGACGCTCTCTGCTGTTCGTAAGTTCTCTTTTCTTGTGTTTGAATCAGGTGAAGTCGTACTTATCGCTGGGTAACTTCTCCCTCCTGTAGATGTACAGACCTGCCTCTGTTTTGGCTGAGCATGTGTGGCTGCGTGACTGGAGCTGTGCGTGTCTGGTTGTGCACGTGCGAGGCGGAATGCGCGCGCACATAAACCTTGAGCGAGTGCGTCTATGCATGCATGTGTGTAGTAGTGTGTGTATGCGTCTGTTGGGTGTGTGTGTGTGCGTGTGTGTTCATGTAAAAAAAAACACTGTCCCAACAAGGCATTCCTCCTGACAGTTTGTCCAGTTTTACAAAATGAAAAACAACCGTTAAAAAAAAAAAAAAAATCACAAGAATGATTGTTGAGATCGACGACGAATCTATAAATACATGAACATAAATATAAATATATATAGATATATAATTTTTATGTGCTGATGTCAATGTCAATAAATGCAACAAAGTATTTGCAGAGATAAAAATGATTATGTGGTGTACAACAGGACTCTTGTTCACTTGATCCAAACAAGAAAAGTGCTAATCAGGACCTATTGATCTCCACCTCACACACACACACACACACACACACACCACACTTTAATCAAGTTGCAACAGAAGTCCCACGTGAAGATGCTCTGGCTCGAGTTGTGTGTAATTGTGTGTCCATGCTTCTTAGATGACCCTGCTGAGAGAGGATCGTACTTGAACACAAGGGGGAAAAAATCAAAATAAAAAGACTCTTTTCAATCAAAAACTCTCGTCTCTGCTGCTTTTCATCGTTTTCTTACAAAGATGTGGAGCTGTTTTGTTGCATGAGCTGCCGTTTCATCTAAATTCTGAAGTTGTGTTTTATAAATCAAAAGTCAAAATTGCGAAAGTGATGTATGATGTTTGGTAATCTGCAACACTTTGATGTGATTTACATTAATCTACAACTATATGGTCTCTTGTTGTTCAAATGGGCTAGAAGCGCCTTTGAAGTTCAGACAGGCACATAATTTAAAAACATTTTCTCCTTAAAGCCGTCCTCTAGTAATAGGAAGTCATTTTGTCTATATGTATTCTGTTTTTACAATCTACGAAGTTTGCCTCAAACCAAGTGCACATAAAAAGTTCACATAAATCTTAGACAAGTTGCACAAATATTGAAATTCCTTGCAAGATGAGGAAATTGTGTAATTTACACATTTCAAATTTGTGCACATCTTTCAGAACAGGGGTGGGCAACATATTTTTCTAGAGTCAAATCAAGATAATTGAAGCAATTAAAGATCTACGTGGAGACCAAAGTTCATGCTCAGTAATCCAGGTAGAAAATCCAACAATGTTCAGTCAGGTTATCTGGACGGTTTCTTTTGTTGAGACATTTCATCCTTTATCCAAAGGACTTCTTCAAAATGAGGAGTATGGTGGCCCTGAGGCGTAAATGAACAACATTTTAAAAAACGGAATTACATTTGTACAAAACGGAATTACATTTAGCCAACGCAGAAGTAGTCAAAGCGGAAGTGGCCGGAATCACATAAGAAAAAACGGAATTACATTAAGCCAAAGCAGATGTTGCCAAAGTGGAAGTGGCCAAAGCAGAAGTAGCCAAAGCGGAAGTAGCCAAAGCGGAAGTGGCCGGAATCACATTTGAAAAAATGGAATAAAATTTTAAACGGAATTACATTAAGCCAAAGCAGAAATAGCCAAAGAGGAAATGGCCAAAGTGGAAGTGGCCAGAATCGCATTTGAAGAAACTGAATTAAAAACTGAATTACAAAGTACATTAATTCCATTTGTTCAAATGTGATTCTGGCCACTTCCACTTCGGCTACTTCATCTTCGGCTACTTTTGCTTTGGCCACTTGGGCTTCAGCTGCTTCTGCCACTTCCGCTTCAGACGCTTCTGCTTTGGCTTAATGTAATTCTGTTTTGTTCAAATGTAATTCCGTTTTTTCAAACGTTGTTCATTTACACTACAGGGCCACCGTAGAGGAGACACCAAACAAACTGCTTCCCACAAACAGCATACTCCATAGTGGAAAAAAAACACATTTTGCTGGTGCTAAGATGGCCTCTAGGGCCCGCCCTTTCCCTTGTCAACTCCTTTGAGGCAGTCATGCCAAAGTGGTCACTTCTAAAGATAAATAACCTGGAAGACTTTTCCCAGGCTATTCCTTATAGCATGCTTAATAAAAATGTCTCCCCAATACTCTGAGAAAACAAGACAAGCTTTCTGTAAAGTGGTTTGTGTGACTTTTTTTTTTTAGCTTAAAAATGCAAAAAGGGATTATATGCTTGCTTTTTGGTGTCTTTATGGTTCAGTCTAGTTCTGGATATGACTTTAAAAAGGTTTTGCCTGTCATAATCCAAATAATTTAACATTTGGCCAAGATATTTAATTTAGACTTCCTTAACTTTATAAATTGCAGGTTTTTGTCACCTTATTGAAAAAAAAGAAAATGTCTTATTTTCGGTTAAAGATATTGGGGGGCTGAATAGAGATAGTCTAAGGGCTACTTTTGGCTCTCCAGCCATATGTTGCCCACCTCTGTTTTAGAGTATTAATTATCTTTGACCATTCTT